ATTGATTCATTTTCCATTGAACTGAAAACTTATACGAGCAGCATTAATATTTTACTTCATTAATTTTTGCTAGTAAACAAAAAAAAAAATTAATTATCTATCGTTATATTCAAAATCATTTTAAGGTTTTTTAAATTTTTATATTTACATAATGTATATATGTACATACATAAGAATCTAGATATATGTAGTAAAATATTGTAGTTGCTCTTATTTTTTAATGTACATATAATTTTGATGTAAAAATTTTACCGTGAGGTACTCAAACATTTTTTTTTGGGAGGAAATTTATTAAACTTCTTATATACATAGTAGCGTTTTACTAAAGTGCATGTGTGGTTCTTGAAACAAAAGGACATTTATTATCATTACAAGGCAATCTTTTTACCGACCGCATGTCATACAATAAGGAATTTGAGTTTCCGGTGGGAACGCGCTTCTCCACGGTAGCTAAGTTAGACAATACACATTGCGATTGGTTATGTGTTGACCACATCAGAGATTTGTGTAGACGGATTTGTGTTATCTTTTAGTAGACGGTTTACAAAACAGATTTAAATAGCTATTAATGGAAATTATTTTCTTATTCTCTCTAACAAGAGGTCGATACTGTAACTAAATTTAGTTCAATAATTGCTTTATATAGCATGATTAAATTGCAAAATTTATTAAAAATCTTAATCAATCAAAATATGTCACTGTTTTATTACAAAATGTATACTAAAGTAAGCAAATTAAACTTTATAAGATATACACATTCTATATCCTATACGTTTTTACTCATCACATTTTGAATTAATAATACTCTTTCCCTGTTATCACGAAGAATTGCTTTTTAGAATTGCTTGTTAGAATCCTTTATGTATTTCTCAATTAAATATATAAAATTAATTCTGTTTTTTTTAATAAACTGAGAGTTGTACTCCAACAAAAATGCTCTGGATTATCATTACGTGTACCGAAAGTTTTATGACAAATTTGAAGAAATACGATCAAACGAAAATAATTCAAACGAAATATTTGCTTGAAAAAAAATTTATATATTATGCACATTCATATTAAAATATATTATGTAAGTAGCTTTTTTATTGAAAATTGGTTATGCACAAAATTTATAGTTGAACTAACGCTTGTCTTTTAACACTTGTATATTTGTATCATTTGCGAGCACTTGAATTTTATTTATGTACATAAATTGCTATTTAAACACTATGTATAATGAATTTGTTATTTTACTTTTCTTGAAAAATTATTAAGATGAAACTAAACAATGTGTTTTTGTCATTAAATTTTCTCTTTAAAAATCATTTGTTACCTAGACACTGGCACACGTAAAATAGTTGTTTATTAATTTTATTTTATGTGTGTAGCTGTGTATATTTATGTAGCTGTAGTATTTTTCACATTATTTTGATCTTTTAATTTTATTCCTTTTCTTATTTTTATGTTTAGCTTCCAGAAACCAAAAACAATTAATTTTCTTCGTGCGGTTTACTCGAAATTAAAAGTAAACAAACGCTTTTCTTTTTGTTTTTCTTACTTGAATTTTCATTTCTTTTTTTTCTTTTTGTTTTTTTAATTATTTATTTTGTACTCCTTCGGTTATATAAATATTAATTATTATTATTTATGTATGTGTATATGTGTGCCTTTATTTTATCTATATTAAAACATTTTTTATTCAAATTTAAATTATTAATTTGTACAAAATAATCATTTTTGACAACCTATTTTTATTTTATTTCCTTTTAAATATTTAAAATAAGAAAAAAAAAATTTTTTGTGTAACTATACACAATATTTTTTATTTTTAATTTATTTCTTTCCAAAGAAAAGCGAATCATTTTCTTAGTTAATTATATTGTTTTATTTTGTGAGTAAAAGTAGGAATAGAGGAGCGAAGTGGGAATAAAAACAATTTCTTGAGTAAAAAAATGCAAATATTAAGGTAGATACCCTCATTGAAAACAACTGCCTTAAATTAATAATATAAAATAAGGTTAACAGAGTCAATTGTTTAAAACTGGGCTTACATTTTAATGAAAACATGATTTATGGACAAAAATAAATTCATCACACCAGTTTTGTTAGGAATTAGTTAAATTTAGTTTTAATAAATTTTCACAATAAAAATTAGAAGAAAAACCTCTAAAAATTTTCTACAAATTCCGGTCTAAAATTATCTTATACAAGTCTTATATTGAATTGAAATTTAATTGGACCGCTGCGCTTCATTAGCTGGATTATTATAATGCTTAGTTCATTATGAATTATAATATTAATAATTATTTTATTGAATTATTCTTCTTATTTTCAACTAAACTATATTTTAATTACTCTGGCAACTCTATTATAACGCTATTATAATAATTATCTAAAAATAAAATTATTATTTGGAATGGAATAAGAGTTGACAGTATTTTGACAATTTAATTTGTCATTTGAAATTTTAATACAAATTAATATTTATAAATTTTAATAAGAAATAAAAATATTTTTTCCCAAAATATCAAAAATTATTTTATAGAATTTTTTTTTTTTTTTTGTGAAAACCTAATATAATGAGAAAATCTAAGAAAAAGAAATGAATTGTTATTAAAAAAAATTTTCTAAGAAGAAATAAAATTTTGAAATTTTTATGATTTTCAAATTCATCGGAGATTTTCAAGTTTATTTTATAACCTTAGATTTTTATTTATCAAGAACCGAAATTAAAATGATATAAATAAAGTATGTATACCTTTTTATTTGTACATATACGAGCCTAATAATAAAATTGGTGGAAATAAAAAGGCGATAGAAAAGAAAAATGAAATGAGAAAATTATTATTTATTTTTCATTTTATTATTTTGTTTCTTTTCTTATTTTTCATATTCTTTTCTTTATATATATTATTATTGGAGCTCTTTAGAGTTGTTGCATTTATTGTCAATTATTATTTTAGAATTTGTAAAAAATTTTCCAATTTTAGAATGTCATTGTCGTTAAAATAATTGGCTTTAATACCTTCTCATTTTTTTTTGTGAAGAATAAGACATTTCGCCATTTTAAATTATTTTAATTGACAAAGCAATTACTTAGTTGTCCCTTTTCGTTATTTTAGTTTTTTCATTATTACATCAAGCATTTTTAGTTTGTGATTATCTGTGATTTTTAATTTGGGGGAGATTAATACATGTAAACAGATTAAAGTGGTTATTAATATTGCAATTAAATTTACTTAATTTACTATAATAAATCATTGCATTATAACTAATAGTTTAATATTGACTCAAAATAAAATAATATAATATTAATAAGGAATTGGTTTTAATTTACTGAGCATTGAAAGCATTAAAAATCAAATATGGCACATCAAATATTATTTTATGAATAAAGAAATTTTATTATGATAAAAGAAGCTCAGCTTTAGAATCTTATAAAAAAATTTCAATAATTCTAATACTATTTTCATCCCATGCACGCGCAATTTCGTAAAGGGTATATTATTAACTTTGGAGCCGTCTGCGATATGGACATTTAAATATTATATTCTTGCTCAGCGTAAAATTCTCCGTTCACTAGTCATCATGCGATAACTCAAAAACGAATATTGCAATCGGCTTTAAACATTCACAAATTGTTTTTTTTTTGCCAAGGTTACTATTGTAATTGAACTAATTTGGACAACGGGTTCGGGTAGCTAACTTACAACTGAAAGAGGTTATTTTAAATTTCTCGAAACCAACAAAGATGTTAATATAAAATTTTGTAATATAAAACTTGACAGTCGTGTATCCTAGAAATATATATGGAATGGCTGCCCTACAACGTTAAAAGCTAGTTTTAGTTTTTTTTTTTAAAATAATAAAGCTAGTTGTTTAAAATTCGGCAGACATAAACCCAATTATACGTCACATATTTCCTTGAAGTTTTTGTGGATTGAATTGATAGGTTCGGATAACTGCCATACAACCATGAAATTTAATTCTAAATATTTTAAAAGCAAAATTTTTATACTCAGACAATCTGCCAATATGGCAGGGTATAATTCTGTCGGTTAAGTGATCGTTTTTACTTTTGTCAAATTGTTTTAGTTCCAAATAAACTTGTGTATTTTATAACCAATTTAATAATCATTAGAATTCATTTTGAAAATTAAAATTTTCAATATAAAATTTTCAACATAAAAGTATAGTATAATAAATACGTAGTTACATCAGTTATCAGATGATTAGTATTACAATACAAGTATATAAAACAAATTTGATATTGTCAAAAAATCAACGTGTATAATAAAATAAAATTGTTTTACCGCATTATTCAATTTTATAAATTAGTTTATGGCGTACTCGGGGAGCAACAACACTAAAAAGTAATATTTAATATTAAAACAAATATACCTAGGTATATGAACCTATAAATATTCATACTTAACATTATATAATATAGCTATATACATTTTATTTTGCAATTTTAAATTATTATCTTAAAAAAAGGATTTAAGGCCCTTCAAAAACCACAAATATTGACAGAAACCGATTTCTTTTTTCACAAAAAGAAATTAACAAAATATCCTTTTTTATTATAATACCACCTATCTATAGTTTATTTATCGTTATATAAGTATACCTATATTAAATAGAAATTTGGGTTAAAATTATAAAAATTGATAGCTTACATTTTAATTATCTTCCTTTATATTTAAAAAAAAAAAATAACAAAGATCTTTTACTTTCATTACAAATAATAAGCGTTTTTCATAAACATTCATAAAAAAACACAATGATTTTATATACATATCATAAACCTAAATACTATTTGCAATATTTTCCATTATATAACCTTGTATACTTTTTTTTTTAAATCAAAAGCACCTATATAGATTCTTTGTAATTATTAATTATTTTTGGTGGTTGTAAAAATTTATAACGTATATTAAAATTTTTTTTTATGTATATCTGTTATGGAGGAGATAAAAATATTTTATAAAAACCAACAAAATAAAGGAATGGCTTACCTCCTTCATCAGTCATAACTAATACTGTTGTTGCTGGTCCAAGTCCTTCTGGATTAAAAACTTGGACAGATACCAAATATTGGGTATATGTTGATAAACTCTGAATTTCATAACTCTAAAAATATACAAAAAGAAAAATATTTTCAAAAATATTGTAATAAATTAATTAAAATCTTGATTTTATATTTGATATGGTGTGTGATTTATTTCACCTATTATAGAGATACATTCATAGGCACAGCTATAGTTTTTCTCCATAAAAGTAAAATAATATAAATTTGAAGTAACAAGCACCCTAATCTATGCAAATACAAACTCATATACAAATATCTTTAATATTAATGCGACCGTAATGAAAAATCAAAGTGAAAGTGTGTTATACATATAACAAATATATTATAATTACACTGCTATTATGATTTTCAATTAATGTCTTCTATAATAATTATGTTTATATATGAAATAGATCGTAAAAATTTTTGATGGGAATAGAAAAATTTGTCAGCCGGTATTTATGTACATATTATGTATGTAGATTATAATTAAAAAAAACTAATTTGAAATGTGACATGAAAAGGTTTACACAGGTATTTTGTATCGAAAAATTATTTATAGTCTAATTAATATTGTATACACTTTTAATTACGCTAATTAATACTGTTATACATTAAATATGTAGATATCTAACTTACCTAAATACTTGAATAAATTCAAAGTAGTATTAGGAATTAGAAAATAATTAGTAGTCAATCAAATTATGAAATCATTTTCATTAGTAGCATTTATGTTTCAAATGTTCAAATTTTTATGAAATGTAATTTTTGGGGAATATTTATGTCATTCCAAGTATAATATTGAAATGCCATACTAAAAATATTTTTATATAAAAATTAAAGAAAAAACTAATTACAAATGGCCAAACTCTTCACATTCTATATTTTTATTGGTATAAAAATGAATATAAAATTTAGAGCAAAAATTGATCAGATCTTATATTTTAAATCCTAATACAGAATTTTTTTAAGAAACTGCAGTCAGAAATGAATTTATTAAAATCAAAATTATTAAAATTATAGTTATGTGCCTATATAAACTATACATAGCTATTACGGAAGCAAACACTATAATTCTGCGGCTTCGGCGGAAAAGTAATTTAGTCAAAAAACCAAAATAATTTTTTTGTCATCAGTGTCATTGATTTTTCATTCTCTATCAACCTACATTACTATTATAGTCAGTTTCTTTGAAAAATTCCTTGTAAATTGAAATGGGCAATTAAACCTTCCTAAAACTTACATGTTTGAGTTTGCGCGAAAACAATCGAGTTGACTTAAATTTTAATATTCAAAAAAAACATCCACTAAATTTCGACTTAAAATTAAAATTTATGACCTTACACTGTTCTTTTGTGAATGAACAGTGAAGGCCATAATTATGAATACACTGAAGTAATACTTAAAAGAAAATCTTAAAAGAAACTATCCGTATAAAATCTCTAATATAAGAACAATAAAGGAAAAACATGTTTCCTGAAAACTTACTAAAATTGACTTGATACTTTTTCCCTGGAGCCGTAAAATTTTTAATCAATTTCAAGCTTCTATATACCAACAATTTAATTAACACACCATTCTTAAAATCAAAAATCGAAAACTAAAATTAAATCTAAAAATTGAGAAATAATTTTCAAATAATTTTCATCTTAAATATAATTTATCTAATGAAATTTCGGTAAAAAATCAAATTTTTTTTTTTATAAAATTAAAATTTGAAAATTTGTCTATAATCTTATTAAGCAAAACTTTCGATAATATTTTTTGTAAATATTTTTTTTTTAGTTGCCCCTTTAATTCCCACAACAAGAATAATTTTATGGCTTATAATTATAATTTTCTTTTTTTTTTAAATGTCCCCTTTGACTTTAGAGACCTTTCATTACATTTCACTTTACTATAAATTATGTACACTGTATATTGAATTTACATACCCATATTTATAATAATAGATTCTAGCCTATAGATGAATGTTCATTGGAACATCATTTATTAAATACCAAAAATTCCCTAAAGAAAATCAAATTCAAAATATATATATATATATAATTTATTTATGATATATACTTACATACATATGTATATTATATTTATAAATAAAATGTTTATATAAAACTATCCAAATAGGTTAGATAAGTACTATTATTATTGTATAGCTAGTAATATTTGAAATTTTAAAATAACCATTTTCAATATCTTTAATAAAGATAACAAAAACATCATTACCATAATTACAACGATAACTATTAGGCGCCAACTTAAAAACAGCGCCATACTATAATACCAATAATAAAATGGTTTCCTATTTTTTAACAAAAACACATACAACGCAACAAAAAAAAAAGGACATTTTACCTATTTTTATATATAGATAAATTTATGTATATATATGTAATTATATTGAGTTAATAATAGATATAATTGTAACAGAATATAGTAGATGTTGCCCATTTTTATCGATAACATTCATTTTTTATTATTACAGCGTTTTTTAAAATAGCACAAACAAAATTAATAAAATAGTAGATTGCAATGAACGTGATTGATCCTTTTGCAATATTATTAAGAAAATAAAAATTTCAGAATTTTTAAATTGTGGAATTTGTTGTTCAACTCAAATAATCGAAAAATCATACATTGATAGCTACAATATTAGTTGATTACTATCAAATTTTAAAATTTTATGGAAATTTTTACCTATTAATCAGTAAGCCAATATAAAGTGGCACATGGAATCTAATTAATTGTTTTATATGTCAAAGTGCATACTATGCTAATCTTTTTTAAATATTTTGAATTAAAATAATAAAATAGTTATTGATGAGTCTTAAATACATTTTTCAAAATAATAGCCGCTTATGTTATGGAATTACTCGGAATATCTCATTTTTAAATAAAATAAACTCATACCTACTTTAAAACTCTACAGAACTCTACAAAAAATTTCTATTGATAAAGCAATCGCCATACAAAAAAAACCTCATTTTATGGATCTAATCTTGAAAAATTTTCTAAAGAATTTCAAGTAACAATATGGATTGGTAGAAAAGAGCGTGCAACTCATTTTGATTAACTCTGTACGTTCATTTTTATATGAAAATATTTTGTTTTTAAATTTTGTTCTATATTAAATGTATATACCAACCCAGTCATAAACGAATATTATAAATATATAATATAATATATATATAGATATAAAATTAATGAAACTAATAATAAAGTAAAAATACCAGATCCTTAATTTAAAAAAGATATTTGCATAAATATTCTTTTAAATATTGAGGAAAAATAAGCCTAAGTTTTTATATCAACAATATCAAATTGTGTATACACATGTATGTTCATGTATATATATTCAATATAAATGAGAATATGTGTATATATGACTGAGTTTGTGGAAAATTTTATCATTAAATTATATCAAGATCATTTTATAAGGCTATAAAATTTTATAAACAACTAATATAAGTGTGTACTAACATGTACAATTCTATTATATATGTACGTATAATGAAAATACATACATATATGTAATTTATATACCTATATAACATAAATTATTCTATATAAGCATATAGATATTTTATATGAAAATTTTAGTTCATTGTCAAGCTCATTGTATTAGAGTTTCTATAGAATTTATGCTAAACATATATAGATTTGTTTGTATATAATACATACGTATATGTATGTGGGTATACACTATATAATTTAAAGCTGGTCATATTATATCTTCTGTACTTTGATATAAATGTCATTTTTGTTATACAATATTGAATTTTAAGGCATTTACAGTGCTTTAAAAAAAAATATATAATAAAAATGAAACCACCGGAGATACCTGAACGAAAGATAGTAGAAACGAAAAAAACAGAAAACAAAAATGATCAAAATATATTATAACCTAAAGAACCTCAAAGGACTTTTTTTTTTTGAAGAAAATTATAGGTGGACCAGCTCGAAAATATAAAAACAATATGGTCATTAATTTTTGGAAGCTCTTATATTTACCTACAATGTTTATAATATTATACATGCACATAGAAACGAAGCAAAATATCCTTAACCAAATAGCTAATTTAGTATGAACAAAAAAAAAAAAAAAGAAATATCTGTTTTTCAAATTTTTGTTTCAATGCACTTTTTATAACTAATTTTTGGTGACTTCTTGTCCGGTGAGACCTGATATTCTTGTAATAGAAATTTTTTTTTGGCACATGTATAAATGAGGGCATTGTACATATAATGTGAAATAATAAAAATGTGGATTGTCGTACAAATATAATTTCGAATGGAAAATATATGTATGTATGTAGGTAGCTTAGATACATGATTTTAATAATTTTCAAAATGATATGGTAGCCCAATATTTCAATTTTAACATAGAGACTTTGTAAATATGTGGTAGTGTGAATTTAAATTTATTTTATAACAAAGTAAATTTTTTTTTTTTGTGCATTTAAGTAATTAAAACTTAATTTAAAGAAAAACAATATTATTAAGAATTTAAATCGTAGTTGAGTTTTCATTTTTGTAGTTAAATTATTCTTCTACTTCTCTTTATAGTACTACGTCCTGTTCTACCTCCCGCTACCTTTTTGAGGGGCGTCCAGGATGGCGATGATCATGTGATATGTTGTTATAGGCTATTTTGACAAGTAAATTTTCATTCATTCTTTTTACATGTTGGCTCTAGCTACTTTTGCTCTGTCTCTGACTCGATCTCTGAGAGTTTTACAAGTTCTTTGCTGTAACGCTTTCATTTCTGTGGTTCGAATTAAACGGTTGGTAGTTGAGGTATCTGCTCGGTATTCCAAGGCATAAGCTTAAACACTGAATAGTTTAAATTGAAGATAAGAGTTAAGAATAGTTTAAATCGAAGATGAGTTAAATTTGAAACATTCGGAAGTTAAACAAAGGCCGTAATTGTAACTCTTAAAATTTAAAAATTATGTTCGAACCTGTTTTCCCTTAATTTGAAATTGTATTTACCGGCTTAATGTAATTTATAAAACTTATTTTCGAACTTATGTATTTTGAATATTAAAAGTTATTTGAAATA